TTTTTTTTTTAAACAGATTCTCACTCTGTTGCTCCAGGTAGAGTGCAATGGTGTCATCATAGCTCACTGCAACCTCAAACTCCTGGGCTCAAACGATCCTCCTGCCTGAGCCTCCTGAGTAGCTGAAGCTACAGGTATGCACCACGACACCTGGCTAATTTTTCCATTTTTGGTAGAGACGGGGGTCTCGAACTCCTGAGCTCAAGCCATCCTCCCGCTTTAGCCTCCCGGAATGCTAGGATTACAGGCATGAGCTACCATGCCTGGCCCATGGGCTAAATTTTATCTCATTCCTTTTTTCTAGCCATTAGAGTGGTTAGGTACATAGATTAAAGTAACAGCATGGTTGTAACATTCTTACAGAAAGAAGGTATGATTAATGTAAAAGTCAGAGTAAAACTTCATGCACTGAGTAAATATCTTAATACACACAGTCATCCCTCAGTATCCAATAGGGGATTGGTTCCAGGACCCCACAAAGATACCAAAATCCATGGATGCTCAAAACCCTATATAAAATGGGATGGTATTTGCACATAACCTATACACCACCTCCCATATACTTTAAGTCATCTCTAGATTACTCTTAATAACTAATACAATGTAAATGCTATGTAAATAGTTGTTATATCATTTAGGGAATTGTGACAAGCAAAAAGTCTCTACATGTTTAGTACAGATGCAACCAGCCATTTTTTCCAAGTATTTTCAATCCACAGTTAGTTGAATCCATGGATGTGGAACCCACACACACGGAGGGCTGACTATATGTCAATATTAAATAATAAAACCATTCTACTCCAATTCAAAGTGGCCTGACAATTACATCATCGTAATAACACTCATAGGATAAAATAACAATTAAGAAATCTCAAACCTTGATTGACTTTAGCAGCCAAGTCTACAAAGAGATCACTGTCATTTTCAATGATCTGAGAATCAGATCGCTGTTTCTTTGTCTCCTCAACTACAAAATCATAGAGGGCAAGACGATCAGCTTGAGTTAGATCACAAACAAACCGTTTGTGATTCAGAGGAACTTCAACAGGCAATGAAGAATAAATCCCTAAAGTAAAAATAAAACCACAAAAATAAACAATACATGAAGCATTATGGACTTAAAATCTACTACTTATCTTTAAACATACGCTTTAATAATACAATATTAACACAAACTATTTTTTTCATAATAATCCCTAAATATACAAAATATTGATCTATGCAATAAATGGTAAACATTGACTCTATCCTGAATGCTACAGCCACACAAAGGATATATTACAGATGCTTGCTATTCTCTCCAACAATATTGACATGGATCGCATGAAGGCAGGCAGTAATAACCAGAAGAGGCAATTTGCTCTAAGAAAACCTTTGGGGTAACAATTTTTAAAAGGCGACCCATACAACAAAAGTAGATGTTATCTACTTACACGCTTTTCCCCATAAAAGCTGAAAAAAATGCTTTTAATAGGTAATACACATTAATGTTCCTTTGAAAATAAACTACAGAAATATTGAAAAAAGTGTAAAAAATGTCTTTTTTGTATGAGACATCAGGCTTAATGGTCAATATTCAAAATACATCCCATTTGTGTAATGACTTAGAGCTATGGGCCAAAAAACAATTAATTAAGTAGCAGAAATCCCATGCTTCCTCAGACCAAAGAAAGACAGATTAAACTGAATCTAAACTCATTTTAACTTCCTAAGGAGGAAGTATACTAGCTTAATCAAATTGAAAAAAGTTAATAGCCGTGCCCCCCAGTAGTTATAGAACTTTCCAAAATCTGCTCATTAATGAAAAAAAGCAAATACAATACCTTGATATGATGTATTAAACATTGAAGAAAATTTTTGAGATTCAAATTTTCTCAAATAAAAAAATGATTAGAACTGTAAAAAAAGCAATTTAAAACAATTCTTTTTCTAGACTTCATTATTCACTAATGCAAACAAAGAACATGAGCTACTAAAGGAATCCTAACTGCTTTCTGGCCTTTTGGCTAAGATCAAGTGTAAAGGAATCCTTTTAATGTTTGCTAGGTTATCCTAAAGTAGTAACTCTGGTTCACAGAACAATGTAAAATCAGTAGCTCTTCCCAGATATTTGATAGTCTAACCTTGTTAATTTCTTAGGTAGAGGCAAAAGAATTCAAATAAGAACATACTATAAACTAAGCATTACAACAAAAAAGATGACTTTACATTTGTCTACACATTAAGAGGAGAGCTGCACTGAATCTGAGGCTGTGGTTTAACAGCTATGGATAACAA